TTATAGACTGATTCCTACTGTTCTTTACATATGCCCTTTAAAAGGCAAGAAATGTGCCCTTGTGTCGAGAAAATGTTAATCGAGCTAAGTACTTTCAAGTTACTATATTTCGAATTGTCAAAACGTAAGTAGATTTAATGGCGCTGAGTATACTGGAATTATCAAATTGTCCTTCCGATTTAGAAATGCAGAATAGTCTTTTTTTCTTGTAAAAAATGTACTCATTTAAATCAAACTACTCTTTGGCGCCGTACACAATTTACTTCTCTATTACAATTTCAGATTTCAGACTTGTTTAAGCCGTTCGAGATTTCATTTTCGATAATTGTGCGACTCTAGCTTACGTTAAAATGTATCTAGATCGTGCAACACGAAATTATCTATGCATACAATGTAACATTCAAACTATATGAAGTAGGTAGAGCCGTAACAGATTTTCCATTGCGTCGTGTCACTTGAACATACTCTAAAAATCCGTCTGGGCAACAGTACAAAGAGCCGTTGTCTTCATACCAAAGTGTTATTTGCTTGCGTCTCTTTCGACAACGTAGTCGCTACTCGTTGATTCGTGCAATGCACTTTTGCGCATAGCCCGTTGGGAAAACCTGTGCCGTCGTCATGACTGTGGATCACGATTTAGTCAGTATGACTGGTTGTGTTGACGTGCGCGGTGGTGTTTTGCGGCCCATCAAATCTTCCGGCACAGGAGTAGCGTCAACGATAGCGACCGCACTCGGCGAAGTGGAGCAGAAGATCGCAAACCTTTAACAGGTACCAGCGTTTCTTCCACTAAACACGCTGCTTCTTCGAGCAGCATCTTCGTTCACTTGCTCTTACGTTCTTGTTTCAGAATTCGCTTGATCGCGAATCCTCCGTTGCTCTAGTGTAACTACTTTCTGAATCGATCAAGCTTTGATAAATAGCCGTACGTCTCCATCATCTTCTTCACTGGATGAAGACGATATATGTCTTCGTTTTGACCTCGTTGCCTCGCGGATAATCTTTTGTTCGATCCTTTAAAGCTTATATAACCTCCTCCACAGCGTCCCTGGCGTCCAGCGTACGATGTTCTGGCGTTCGTTGGCGTGTAGAGGGCGTGCGCGCTCAGCCATTAAAGGGTCCAGATTTGTGGCATTTTTACCCCTTGTTTTGTGTTTGTTAGCAATTCCTGCTTTGTACGGATTCAAAACCCTTCTGTAAGGCTTTGCACCTTATTGGTTGCAATGAAACTGCATTTTGTACCCGTAATACATTGGCTGGACGAGCCACTATGCCGCGTGCACTGGACATCGATACAACTGCCGATGTAGTATTAAAGATTAGAAGTTGCTCAGTGCTTCACAAAATTCAAGTAATTTCCATTGCTGTCCTCTACTCGGGAGTTCCGGTTACAATAGTACTAGCCCGACTGAATAGATTTCTGTGATACGAGGAGAAAACGTGATCTAGCCAGAACCTTCAGTAGTGTGGTTACGGCGGCACTATTGACCCATTTCGGGTTTTTACGATTCACGGGAATTATGATCTTCTGGCTCTATTGTCGGTGAAAGAACGTGATATGATGACAAGGCTGTAAAAACAGGGTATGCATGTTCTAACCGCCCAAATCATAATGTACGAGTTAGTCAACGAAGTTAAGCGTTGTTCAAACAATTATCCCTCTTTGTTCATGTGGTAGGATGACGACCAGCGACATCAGTTTAAAACAGTGTTTTTCGATGGGACGATTATCATATCGAATAGCGTCCACAGATAATGGATCATATTTATCCGTGAGGTGATCAAATGGGTGGGGCTTACCAGAAAAGCCACTTTGTGAAGCTGCTCTTGGCGTCAAGTACCAGCTTGTTCCAACGACAGAAAGGTCACAGCTGGTGTGGAGCTGACGTTTAAATACGCGAGTTACATTGGATACTTCCATGAATACTTGAGGCTTCCCTGAGTTCACGACGGTGATCGTCGTCCACTGTAGGCCCTGGTTCAAGTATGGTCATGCATTCTGTGCTGAAAGTTTTAGTACTTCCTATTAGTCAAAACATATTGGGTACAGTGTACCATCTTCCGTCTTTCGCATTCTGGGGCTCTCTGTTTCAGACTAGGAGAACACAGGCGTTCTAACAGCGAAACAAATGTTCTAGAGAGTCTCTTTGTCCCCAATCATTCAAAGTCTAACGCCGCGGCAAGATGGACCCCGAGGCCGTAGCTGTGGCCGTCTTAACGCTAACTGCCTTCGCTGTAGCACTCACAGTTGCTACGATAGACAAACGGACATGCAGACACCCCGCCTACCACCGTTTCAACTTTTACCACGACTACAT